GCGACGCGGCGACAGCCCGACCGACCGAAGAGGCGGCCGGTGACAGTAAAGTTCACGACTTTCCCCACGGATTTCACAAGTGCCACGCTAGTAGTAACAGGTGCCTTACTAGTAGTAACAAAAAAGCTATTAGAATTAAACTATACACATTAAACTAATTTTGAAGGTTTCAGCCTGAAGACCTTTTTCAGGCTTGTGCAAAAGCGGCTTCCAACCGTCTCAGTTGGGTTTGTTTCAAGTGTCCGTTTTGGTACACCTTTCGTTTTGTGCGTGTCATCCTTTGCGGACGTGCACTCCTCCTTGGTCTCTGCCCTTTTTGGCAGTAGACCAACCTCCAAAAAGCGAGCTCTAGGCTCAAGCCGCCTCAGGATCCGCAGACTTTGCACTGTCGGATCTCAGTCATCGGTCCCGTGACCGCATTGCACCGAGCATCGGTGTGGAAGTTGCCGAGCTGGTCCTCATAGATGAAGCTCGTCTCTCGAAGACTTCTCTGGCCTCTGGTGGCCCTTTGACAGGCTCCACACACCGGCTGTTCATGAACTCGGTTGGCCTTCCTCAATCCCCTGCAGCTCTGCTGTCTATGGAAGCACTTGCTGGACTCCGCGAACCAGATCTTCCACGTTGCTCATTGGGGAATCGCCTCCTCCTCCCAGTCAGGGTGATCTGCAGATGATGCCCTCCAGGTAGGTCAGCTTGATTCGGCGGTTCCTCCTGTGGCTCATTCAGCGCGGGATCGGGTCTCCCTTGATGTCCATCTTCAATGCCTCCACTCATCCTGGTACCTCTTGGTGATGAGGATGAAGCACTCTGCCCCCCATGGTTCATTTGCTGCCATTCTCCATCACGTTGACGTGGTTCTCGATCTCCTCCTCCTTGAGGTCTGGTAGAAGTCCTTGTCCCGGAAGAAGATTGACCAGCCAAACGAGAGACCCTCACTCTACGCGTCGCCGGATCGTCCTCCACCCGGTTCCAATGCAAGCGGCATTTTTGAATGACCTTCATGAGCACCATTCCCAGCAACATCATCATGACGCTGAGGAGGTACAAGATCTGGTCACCCTCCACATTCTCATCAACGTTCTTGGTGACATTCTCCGCCATAGCTCCATGCACTTCTTTGAGGGCCGACAGCACCACGACAAGCCTCATGGCCTTTTCCAAGTGGTACTTCGCGACCAATTTCATGGCACGAGGTGCGACAATGCCCTTGTCCTCCTCATGCACCTCGTCAACTGAGTCAGGTTGCCATGACATCCCCATCCGCTGTCTCAGCTCATTAATCCGAGCTACTGGCAACGCCTTTGTGCCGATGTCCGCGATGAGCTCTCTTCCAGGCTGGTACTTCAGCTCCCATTGACCAGACTGGATCCTCCATTTGAGGTGGGCGGCCCGGACCTTCAAGTGTCTTGTACGCCACGCTCCAGTTGCACAACTTGCTATTGAGACTGCAGCAGTGTTGTCGCACTTGAGGAACTTCGGGACGTCCTTCGCCATCTCATCAACCAGACATGCGATGCTGTCCCCCACAACTACAGCTTCGATGACCTCTATGAGTTCGGCTTCCGCCGTTGAAAGGGCGGGGAACGGCTGCTTGCAGCTCTTCCATGCCACCGGTGCTCCGGCCACCGTCGTGATCACACAGCCATGGCTATGAGCACCTCCTGGAGCGAAGGAGGCATCACTCACTGACTCCAGTATGAAGTTGGCGTCTCTTCGGTACCACAAGCCCAGGCCCTGCGTGGCATTCAAGTGCCTGATCAGCTGGTATGCGGTTTGGACCGCCCATTTCGGAGCCCGGCTCGTCGCTGAGCAGATTCGGCTGACCGTGTAGGCAATGTCCGGCCTCGTCTTCGTTGCCAGCCACAAAAGTTCTCCTCCGAGTTGTTGTGCCTCTCGGATCTGCAAGGGCGTGCGATCCAGCTCATCCTCGGGTTCCTGGGATTCCTTCATCATCTGAGCGCTGCAAAGGTCCTCCATGCCATGTCGCCGAACCACTTCCCTCAAGTAGGAACATTGATTGGCAAAGAAGTCTCCTTGTTCAGTTCGGCTCAACTCCATTCCACAGTACCGAACTGGTTCACGATCTCCCACCCACGTAGGTTCGGACGTCTCCCAGGTCCTTCGAAAGCTCTGGAGCCCTGCCCTCACAATCTCTTCGGTGCCGAAGAGCATCACATCATCCACGTACACCAAGGCGAGTCCCTCAACCTGGTCTCCATCTCCGGCATCTTTCCGGCGCACCAACCACAAGTTCTCCTCCGCGAAGCTCTGTTGGTACTCATAGGTGACGGAGTTCGCCTGAAAGGACATCTGGCTGATCTCGATGTCCCTGTAGTCCCCCCAAAGCTTTGGAGACTCACGTAGGCCATACAGAGCCTTTTCCACCAGCCACATTTCCCCCTCCTTTACCAATCCCAGTCGAACGAGGATCTTTGGGGGGGAGCATGAGCACCAGGCGCTTCCTCTTGGTGAGGTCCTCCTCCTGCCGCTCTTCCGTGATTGCCCCTTCTCGACCTTCGTGACCTCCTCCATCTTCTTCTTGATCCTCTTGAAGTCGTCCATGAGCGTCTTCCAAGGCGAGGTTCCTTTTACGGCTGCTCTCCTGAAGTGTTCGTAGAGGTGCGTTCAAGAAGGCAGTCTTGATGTCCAGGCTAGCCGCCTGCCAGCCTCGCGAAGCGGCCAGTGCCAATGAGGTCCTCAAGCATGTAGTGTCCGCCCCACCTGCATAGAGCTGAGCTGCTTCCGAACGGTCTCCAGGACCTCTTCCAGCTCCCTTCAGGTAGTTCCCGCACACCACCAGGCGGCATTTCCTTCGTCCGTCAGGGGCCTTCACCGCATGGATGGCCTTCCCTGGAACCACCTCCACCTTGTCTCCATGCTCTCTCTGGTAATAGGCCACTTCTGCGGGAGTCAATCGCCGGATCGCTTTCTTGCCCTCCAAGGACTGGATCTCTTTCATAATGGCTTCCAGCCAAAGGTTCCGGTCTTTGTATACCTCATCGTTTGGTACGATCCGTGTTTGGAGAATCTCGTCTTCCAAGAGTCGTTGGGTTGATGCCACCTGTTCTTGTCGTAGAGCAACCAGACCTCGGCTCAACGGAGGAACTTCTCTTGGAGCAGCTCCCAGCAAGTGACCCTCCTCCTCATAGACGGCCTGAAAGAGCATTCGACGATCCTCCTCCCTCCGTAGGTCTTCTTCTCCCCGTATGCATGCCAGTGGTGTCTTCTCTCTCAACCTCCAGCGAAGCCGTACAGGGTCGTCTTGGATATGGACCTCCTCCATGACCAAGTCTCGTTCATCAGGCTTAGGCTCTTTGACATCCTTTATCAAGTAGCTCACTACCTTGACCTTCTCCTTGTCCGTGAGAACCGCGTGCCCTTTGGACACTTGCGGTGTAGGGGTCAGGTAGGTCACCATCTCGGATGTCGCTTCAAAAGGTCCTCCTCGCTCCCAAGCTCGCTTTCTCACCGTGATGAGCTGTCCAAAGCGTGGTAGCGTCTCCTTGATGTTCTCCCTTCTCCTTCTTTCCAGCTCCGTGACATGTCTCGCCGCTGCCGGCCACCACTTCGTGGGCATGCCCGAAGCATGTAGAAGTCGACGGACCCTTTGCTTGATCGACGCGATCATGGCCTCCGCACGACCGTTGGATTGGTGTTCATCTGGAGGACTGAAGGTTCTTGCCAGCCCCCCTCTCCAAGCACCACCTCTTGAACGGGTTGTTATCAAACTCCCTGCCAGCATCGGTGTGAATCCTAGCCACAGGGTAGCCATGGCGTCTCAGCATCCCAAACAGTTCTTGTGTTCCAGCAAGGACTTCCGCTGCGCTCTTCGAGGCTAGTGGTAGGCAGATAGACATCGTGATCATCTCGTAGGCCTTCTGGTGCTCTTCGACTTCCTCCGGAGTCTTTGGGAGCGGCACCGATGGTGGTTCGGGTTCACAGGGTCCTGGATCAGGTAGCGGCTCTAACTGGTCACCGCCTCCTCCGCCCTGCCCTTTCGCCCTCATCTGACGTAGGTCTATAGGACATCTCCTCACCATGAGCTTCCAGATCTTGAGCCAGGTCATACTCCACCTCCCGAAGAGCCTCCTCTTCCTCGAGTGTAGGCCAGTCCTTGTCTGGGATCACCTCGAGCTGTTCGACCTCGTCCCATGGTGCCTCCTCCATGACCGGCCACGTGTATGCTCCAACCAGGAGGTACTTCTTGAGGTCTCCGTCAATGTCATGGCCGAGCACAAATGGTCCTGTCAGATCCAGCGACAGCACGCACGGAGCCGCTATCCCTTGAGCTCGATGTGGTCGATCCCTTGCCGCTGCTCTCTGACAGACAGCGCAGTCTCTGCGGAACGGCACATGCCCCTGGGCCAGGTGTTCCTGCCAAGACAAGGCCTTCATCGTCACCCGCCTCTTCTGGATGTTGACTGTGATGCTTCTTGCGATCTCTCGCATCATTCCTGGGGCCCATCTCGCCAGCTCGGAGCTCGACACCTCATGCTTGGTCTTCAGGAAGGCCTTGGGCGGGCCCCGATCCTCGGGAACCATGAACTCCATGTTCAACGCCAGTGAGGTAGGTTTCACCGCCATACCACCATAGGCACCCTGGTTGAAGGTCACCATGTCCAAGTTGAGGTGCTCTTTCATTACCCTCCACTCTTCGGTTCTCCAGAAGGATGCCACTTCCGGCATGTGCTGAGGCGCTGCAGGCTGCTCCATCAAGAACCTGACCGTCGGCAGCAACGCGGAATTCTTCTCCTGGGACAATCGTGCATCTCGACCCAGCTTTGCCACCACATAGAGCGTCACCATACGCAACAGCAGCACATCGTCCAAATGGCACTTTGCCCTCTCCACTTCATCCAACTCGTCCAAGCCCCAGGGTCTTCCCAACGATCTCGATGGCCCTGGCATTCCCGTGACTGGATGGTGACGTAGCTCACTGCGGGTCCTGCAGTTGGGTCCACCGATCACCGCATCAATCCAGCCCAACATCGCAATCCGTA